ATAGTAAATGGAACCGTCGGATCCAAATATAATTATGGAACTGTTCGGGTTCGGTTCTGTTCGGTTCCGTTCGGTTCTGTACTATTATTAAATTTTTTAACATTCATAACAACATTATATAAATACAAGTAATGATACATTCAATGGTTTTGGAATGTCAGAGACTAGTAAACTACCTTGTTCAAATGATCGCTACGATCAAAGTTTTGATCGGCGGAGGTCACAGTGTCGGCCGACGATTGTATAGGTTTTGGAATATTAGCGAGGCTGCGAGAGTCTAGACAAGGTTATGCACTTTAGTGTAGTGTTTAGGGTTATTTAGTGGATTTGATCTTATTTGGCTAAGAAATGAAACAATAAAACGGGTAATTGGGCCAAAAATTAAAAAATTAGAAATGAAACAAATTATTAGGCCAAAAATTTGGATTTAGAAATCGTTAATTTGTTAATTTGTTTAGAAAAAATTAAAATTAAAATTAAAATAATTTGATTTACTCAATATAAAAAAAAAAATTAGAAAGATTCGGTTCTTCGGTTCTTGGTCTAGAACCGAGAACCGAATCGTACCCGTCGGTTCTCAATTCAGATACCAGTTCGAGTATTTAATTTGATAAGAACCGTCGGGTTCGATTCGATTCGATTCGGGTTCGGGTTCGGGTTCGATTCGATCGGTTCGGTTCGGAAGATTCGCCCAGCCCTAAAACTTTATTTCACTATTAAGAATTTAAAATAAACATTGTAAAATAGAGTAAATAAATATTTTGATATTTTGTAAATTAAAAAGATAAATAAAATAGGAAAAGTTTCAATTCCCTCCTAATTTTCTCTGGCGTCCCACCAAAACACGTTCCCTAATTTTAGAAAACTCTTCCTCTTCGTCTTCCTCAACCAAAACCTTTTTCTCTCACAAATATCTCTACTAATTGTAAGATCATTCTATCACCCTCTCCAAAAATTCAACCGTCACTTATCTCAATACGGCTGGTAATTCATAATTTTTCTCTTCTTCTTCCACACAGGTGCATATTCCTGGTGAGATTTTTCCCCTGAACTTCTCCTTGTCTTTTCCCTCTTCTTTTCCTCTCTTATCTTCCACAATTACTATTTCTAACAAGTTATGTCATGGGCTTTTTTATTGTGTTTGATTTAATTTTCTATTTTGGGTTTTTTGGGTTCTTGATTTCTCTATCTGTGCATATTTACGTGGGTTTGTGAAAAGGTAATAGTAAGTGAAAGGTAGATTTTTTTCCCGGGCATCTTACATGTCTATTGTTTCTCTATTTTTATTTATTCTTAAGTTCGTGACATTCTTTCTTGATTTTGCCTCATTGGAATTTGTAGGTTCAATAGAGCTTTATTGGTGGAAGAGCAAAAGATTGTGAAGAAGGTTTTGAAGATTTAGAAGGCCAAGGAAAAGCTATCTACTAAGAGCTAAAGAGTAAGTCATACGCCAATATAGTTTTGGATACTGTTAGTCAAGGATGATTGTAATTGTAATCGGAGGCTTCCATGCTTAAATTATGTTTATTTCTTGCAGGATGATTGTGGTGGGCGGGGAGGAGAGAGAGCTGATGGTAATGATATTTTAATTATACCTTAATAATCACATGCAAGTAAAAAATCGTGTAACGGAACCTCACATGCATTAAATTGTGCACCAATTATAAGTGTAATGTTTATGACTTGCGTGCATGGAGAAAGACAAAAATCAGAGACACTAATCATGCCTGGTTCAAGGAGGTAAAATTAATTATATTTCAATGTCCTCCTACTTTAATTATCTACCTTAACTATTTTTATTGGTTCATATTATATAGAATTACGATGCGGAGTCATCAGCATATGTAACGCCCCGAACACTTTTTCATATTATCATAATATTTTTTTTTTAAATTAAAATAAATTTGAGGTGCTATCAAAACTTTTCTCTATCTAATTTAAGTGAAAATATATCGAAAATATTCGATTTGAAATTATTAATTTAAAATTTAACATAACATATCAAATGCTTGAATAACATATTAAATAACATGCATACGATATTCTTCAAATAAAAATGGAAAATTATCTTTCTAGAAAATTTACTTGATGATCCCATTAGCATCGCTCTGTGAATCTTCCACGCGCTTACACGACTCGTTCTCATCTGGAAATATTGTAAGAGTGAGTATTTTGAAAACACTCTGTAAGAATACGTGCACAACCTTATTCACATGATATAAATATAAAAATAACATAACATACCAACATTTCTTAGATATAGAGCTCAAGGAATTTCTTAAGAATCCCCATATCCTGTAAGATTTCACATCTTTGACCAAACGGTCCATCCCGTAGGATTTAACCTAACGGTCCATCCCAAAGGATTTAACATAGAGCTCGACTCGAAGGTCTCATAGCATTTTATGCCAAAAATTTTATAAACATCAAGGAATAAGAATTGACCACTTTGCACAATGTACTCTTACCTCAATTGTCACCAAAATTCTAAAATTGTGACTTGAATTGATGGTATAAAAACAAGGAAACAGATTTTTGTATAAAAATGAACTTATACATTTCTTGAGACAAAACACGTTCACATTAAAACCTATATTTATAAATTTTGAAATGTAACTCCCAATCCAATCAAAGGATTTCAGTTTTAAAATAATTCAATTAAAACATTTTTGGAGATAAATTAAAAAGTTACTAGTTTAGTAAACTTAATTGTCATTATAAACATCATTAGTTAGTTATATTAAATTCTAATATGACCTTTAATTTTTCAAGGTAACCGTATTCTATTCCAATTTTTTTTTTTTGAAATATCATAAAATATACTTTCTTTCTTATTAAAAAAAATCGAGGTGTTACATCACTTCCCCCTTAAATTAATTTTGTCCTCGAAACTATCTTATTTAGTCGATTTCTCCTCTTTCTAGTGACTTGATAAATTCTATCTATGTATATCATATAAACATTCAATTATGATCTATCTTTGTCAATCAACTTATACATTCTGCTCTCGTATCTTTAATAAAATGACTAATCATCATATCTTCACGTAAATTAAACAAAATAATAACTTGCGTAACATATCTCATTCTCAACATCATAATCACTTTTTGAAATCAAGTTTAAATAATTCATAAATCATGCTTGAAAGTAAGCTTAAACATAGCATTTTGTTCATACCTTTGGTTCATTGGACGATAGCTAATTGACGAGCGCAAAATGACATGGGTCTTATTTTAATACTTGTTTAAAATTCAATTAAAATCACATCATATACAGAACTTAAAATTAAACATGTAAACACACACACTCTCTCTCTCTCTCTCTCTCTCTCTCTCTCTCTCTCTCTTTTTGAATAATGGGAAATGGATCGCCACTGCTGGGGCATTGTCAACAATTCTAATAAGGTAATTGTAAATACCTATAACTAAATCTAAAATACCATATGAGCTAGATCCTTATTTAACTCAAACTATGTACTAATTACATGGAGTTTTAATCAATAATATCTCACTGCCACATTTTTATTAGTCAATGTGCTTCTTGAACAATGTCATCCGAGCCACTTGCTAAAAGATCATTTATGTTGCAGAATCAAATTTAATTTAAGTCCATATATCAATGGCTTCTGCTTCTCTAAGCACTCAGTGGACATAGAAACTAACTGCTCTTTGATGGCAGAATTCAACTAATCATGTTTTTCAATCAAAATTTTATTTTATCAGTTTCATGAGCTTGAGGGAATAGATCTACAGTGGCAAAAAAATAACAATAATCATATCTTAATGAAAATTCAAATTATGTATAAATAATAGTGAAAGTATATATATATTTTTTCTATGCAGACCATTAAGTCTTTAAAAATATGTTATCATTCCAAGAAAAAATTTATACACATAAATCACATTTGAACATGATGAAAAAATATATTTACTTAAAAAAAAAAACGACGAGTCCGCAGAATCGACTAAACTCATGCTCTGATACCATTCTGTAATGCCCCGAACTCTTTTTCATATTATTATATTATTTTAAAATTAAAATAAGCTCGAGGTGCTACCAAAACTTTTCTCTATCTAATTTAAGTGGAAATATATCGAAAAAACTCGATTTGAAATTATTAATTTAAAATTTAACATAACAAATCGAATGCTTGAACAACATATTAAATAACATGCATACGATATTCTTCAAATAAATGTGGACAATTATCTTTCTAGAAAATTTACTTGACGACCCCATTAGCATTGCTCTGTCAAATTTCCACGCGTCCACACAACCCGTTCTCATCTAGAAATATTGTAAGAGTGAGTATTTTGAAAAACTCAGTAAGAATACGTGCACATCCTTATTCACATGATATAAATATAAAAATAGTATAACATACCAACATTTCTTAGATTTAGAGTTTAAGAAATTTCTTAAAAATTCCCATATCCTGTAGGATTTAACATCTTTGACCAAACGGTCCATCCCATAGGATTTAAAATCTTTGACCTAACGGTCCATCCCAAAAGATTTAACATAGAGCTCGACTCGAAGGTTTCATAGCATTTTATGCCAAAAATTATATAAATATCAAGGAATAAGAATTTACCACTTTGCACAATGTACTCTTACCTCAATTGTCACCAAAATTCTAAAATTGTGACTTGAATTGATGGTATAAAAATAAGGAAACAGATTTTCGTATGAAAATGAACTTATACATTTTTTAAGACAAAACACGTTCACCTTAAAACCTATATTTATAAATTTTGAAATGTAACTCCCAATCCAATCAAAGGACTTCAGTTTTAAAATAATTCAATTAAAACGTTTTTGGAGATAAATTAAAAATTTATGAGTTTAGTAAACTTAATTTTCATTATAAACATCATTAGTTATATTAAATTCTAATATGACCTTTAATTTTCCAAGGCAACCGTATTCTATTCCCATTTTTTTTTTTTTTGAAATATTATAAAATATACTTTCTTTCTTATTAAAAAAAATCGGAGTGTTACAGCATAAGTAGAATTGCTCACCCTTCTTTATACAGTTCTAAACCTTAAATGTCATTATTGTGATTATGGACAATTCAAATGGGCTATGTGTCATTGCACAATCTGGTCCTCACTTTTTTATGTCTCGACAAACAACTTGACACTCCATGAGCTTTGACATGCCCTCGAATTGGACCCTTGGACACATGTTTTATTGGGGGAAGTCACATCTATTTGAAATGTTTGTATGCGAGCACTTAACTTTAACTCGTCTAAATGTGTGTTGCATAATTCTAAACTTAAATGTGCTATGCTTCTTGCTTAAGGTATGGAGTCTAAATAACAGGCTTGTTAAACTTGAAACCAGGCAAAAAGTTGTATACATTCAAATTTAGATATTGTCGGATGAGTGATCTAGTCAATAATATGTCTTCGTTCTTACTCAGTTGTGGGCTCTTACAGAATTTGAACTTAAATCTGACGTTGTGGAAGCTTGGCACTTTGATTTTGGTTTCCTTACCTTTCCATAACATCTTAAACTTCGTTTGGAACTTAACAGATTTTAATGGGGACGATGTTAGTTTAGGAATCTCTATTCTATCTCCTAGTTTGACTATACAAGTTTTGCTACTTAAACCATGTTTGGCAAAGCTTATTCTTTTACTTTAGTTTTGCAATAGCTCAATATCATGTCTAATTATTTACTTTTAGTTCTTAGCAGTATGTCATCTGATCGTAGTTGGATGTGGCGATGAGTGGATAAGGGTTTTCTTACAAATGAATTTATTATGGAAGTTGAAGAGTTTATTGAATTTACGTATTTAAAGTTAGGGGTATTTGATAAGATTTGATGCCCTTTTTGTAAATGTGGCAATAAAGAATTTCATATGTGAGATGATGTAAAACTTCACTTATACAGCAAAGGGTTTACCCACGATTATACTCAATGGTATGCACATGGTGAACAATACATTAGTCCATTCAATTTGGGTGAATCCTCAAATGCACAAGAAATAAGTGAATGTAGAAATCAAGTAATGGTAATGGATGCTATGGGCCCTAATATTTACAATACCCTTTTCAATCAGCAACATTCTTTTCCAGAAGAACATGAGCCGAATCCAAGAGCTGCAAATTTCTTTAGACTACTTCGAGAAGCCGATAAACCTATATGGTCCGGTTGTACAAAACACACTAAACTTTCAGTGATGTCACAGCTTTTGAATTGCAAATCTGAATTTAATATCTCTGCAACATGTTATGATCGTATGTTGTCCATAATTACAGATATGTTGCCAGAAGGTGCACGGTTAGAGGATACATTTTACAAAACAAAAAAAAAAAATGTTAAGCATTCTTGGTCTTGGTTATATGAAGATACATGTGTGTGATAATGGTTGCATGTTGTACTATAAAGAAATTGAGAATTTGAAAGAGTGTTTGATTTGTGGTAAGGAACGATACAGAGAGAAACCTTTTAGATCAGGACGTGAGGTGCCATACAAGGTATTGCGATATTTACTTCTAATACCTAGACTACAAAGGTTGTATATGTCAAGGCATACCACAGAGTAGATGATATGGCATTTGAAACATAAATATACGAGGGGGGAGATGTCAAATCCAGTACGTGGTGAGGCATGGAAGCACTTCGACACAATTTATCCAGAATTCACCCTCGATCATTGTAATGTGCGTATAGGTTTATGCACTGATGGTTGTCCTTTTAGTAGAAATTTTAAGCCATACTCGTGTTGGCCAGTAATTATCACTGTGGATAATCTCCCACCTTCAATGTGTATGGAAAAATATAACATGATTCTGAGCATGGTTATCCCAGGTCCTAAAAATCAAGGAAAAAATTTAGATATTTATTTACGTCCTCTGATTGACGATTTGAAAATTTTAGGGGAAGGAGTTGAAACTTATGACATATATAAGAAGCAAAATTTTCAAATGAAAACATCTTTGATGTGGACTGTAAGTGATTTTCCTGGATACGGCATGTTATTTGGATGGAGTACACATGGTCCAATGGCTTGTCCTTATTGCATGTATCTAACTAAATCCTTCAGACTCAAACATGGAAGTAAGAGCTATTTTTTTTATTGTCATCGTCGATTCTTACCACAAGATCACCCGTTCAGAAAACAACGAGACAAGTTTATGAAACATACAATTGAAAAGGATGCGGCACCTCCTCAATTATAAGGTGATCTTATTCGACGCATGCTTGAGAACCTTCCTGACATTCTTTATGACAAAGTATCTAGTAGACAAGAAATTGAAGGTTTCGGATGTAACCATAATTGGGTAAAGAAAAGTATATTTTGGGAATTACCTTATTGGCATACAAATCTCATATGCCACAACTTAGATGTGATGCACATTCAAAAAAATGTATTTAATAATGTGTTTAACACAGTTATGGACATAAAAGGAAAACAAAGGATAACGTAGAAGCAAGGATGAATTTGGAGATTCATTGTCACCGGTCGGAGCTTCACTTATTTAGATATGGAAACAAAAAAACTTATAAGCCAAACGCCTCTTATATTTTGACAAAGGAGCAAAAAAGGAATGTGTGTGATTGGATTAAAGGATTAAGAATACTAGATGGTTATTCTTCTAACATTACACGAGGTAGACGATGACATTAATAGCTCTACATCGAATCCAAGTGATAATGACAATGATGAACATGTACGATTATAACCATTATTATTTTTACGTTTCTTATGTTCTCTTTACTTTAGAAAAATATTTATTTAATTTAGTTCTATTATATTTAATTTTTGTTCCTTAATATTTTAAATTGGCTTTGCAAGCAGGATGACACGGACTAGAGGAGGTTATAAATCTAGTCAATAAAGTTATAAGAGATTCACAAGGGATAGTGGTAGGAGTTCTACACGCAGCAGTTCTCAATTTTGTGAGGCTAATATTTCCAATTATAATGTGGAAGATGAGGATATGGATGAACCATTGTACTAAGAAGACACGCCATCTAGATCTAATAATTGGGCTAGGAGTCACAGGTAATTTTAAATATATGTTTATTATGCACTATAAAATATGTGTGTAAATTAAAAGAAATTAACAGTTTGGGAACAAATTTAGTTTTGCAAGCACTATGTCCCCAACTAATGGAGGATATATTGGTCAAGCAAGTCAGCAGAGATCTATACAACATGGTGACAGGGGATCTACTCGTGATGGATATGGTAATCATGAGGCTAATATTTCCAATCATGAGGTCGGAAATGAGCAAATGGATGATGAACTTTATCAAGAAGATATGTTTGGATCTAATAGGCCCAAAGGTGACAGGTATATTTAATTATCCATCTTTCAAATGTAATTGATGTCGCTTAGTAAGATATAAGGAAGAAACTGGACTTACTAAAGGAAATAATTTATCCAAAGAAGAATGATGATGGGGGAAGCATTCTTGCCTGTGCAATTTCTTTTATCTTAATTAAAACCATGGATGAGATTTTATCGGCTACAAGTTGCTTCTCTTCACACTTGTAGTTGACTACAATCATTGTTTATAAACTAAAACATTGTTCTTTGGATATACAAAAAGTAAAACATTGATAAAATACAAATGTAAGTACAAACTTCGATAATATTAAATCAATTTACTTGGCATGCAGGATGTCGCTAACTAGAGGAGGAAATACATCTAGCCGAGCAAGGCAGCATAAATCAAGACGTGGGGATGGTACAAGGTCTATACGGAGCAATAATGAACATCATGATCCTAGTACTCTCAATGATAAGTTGAGAGGTGAGCATGCAGATGATTTGCCCAGAGCTAGTAATAGGACCAGGGGTCCTAATCGTGGTATTCCTATGCCTGCTGATCGATCACAACATATCGAAATAACTATTAAAAATAGCACATAAGCATACATTTATTTTCAGTTGATTTTATATATTTAGAAACATACTTGTTGGTTTTTGGTAATTGGAGAAGAACTTTGATAAATGTTAAACAAGTGAAACTAATTATTATGTGATGGTGAAAAAAGATTATATATTTATTGTTGTTTGTTTTAATAGCTAATATTTATATGTACACACGGTGAGATGTTTCGACCTCAAATCACAAGTAAAATGACAAACAGAATGAGAACTAATTTATGAAGAAAATCAAGTTAAATAGTTGTTATGAGAGGGCTAGAATATTTTATGAATTCATTCATGATTAGTGAGTAATGCATTGAAGTTGAGGCATGTTGACGTTGAGACTCAAAAAGCTAAGACATAGGGATTAATGTCGAGAGAAACAAAGAGATGAAGCTACCATATCTCACATTAGCAATGTTCAAAACATATGTAAACTCTTCATATTTTATTTTGATTGTTAGACCAATCAATGTGCTTTATATTGCTCTCTTTCTTTCACAAGTTGTAGTATTTTCTTCTTTTATTCAAAATATAGCAACTTATGGTTAAATATGATAACAGTTATTACATGGATGTTTTTTAAAGAAGATAACATATACCTATGGTTAAAGATGATAATATTTAAAGATTTCATTTTTCTTATATGGTTGTGTAACTTAGCGACTTTTTTCTAATCATGTTTTTTCTATTATTTATGCAGTTTTTGTGAAATTTTCGTACCCCGTGACATCACCGCAACCATGAAAGCTTATTATGATGGTCCATACCCCACATTTTGCTCGATGCCACAGCCCATAAGAGATGGTTTATGGGATCGATTTATGGTAATTATTATTTATTATATTTGGAAATTTTTGATATTCATTAGGTCCATGAATTGATTTTTTATTTATATATCAGGGTAAATATATATGGCCGACTGCGAACACTATCGATGTGTATGACACATGGAAGGTCATATTGAAGGATAGATATAAAGATATGATGAATGATGATCACGAGAAAGCAAAGCGTCAAGTCAGACAGATAATCCTGCTATTGGAAAGGACATGGCCCACGTTGGATAAGAGCAGAGCATTGGGATAGTCTTGTAAATTATTGGAGTACTGAAAAATGGAAAAAAATGCGAAGATTGCCAAGAAAAATCATCTTGCACAAGGACAGGATGGTGAAATGAAGAAGCATACTGCTGCTTCAGTCTCCTTTGTGATTACTAAGAAGAGATTGGTATATTTTTTTCATACCATTTCTATTTTGTGTTTTAAAGTTCATTTGTATTTTTAATCAATTGTTATTAAGGAGTTGCATATTTTAGGAGAAGGATATGGATCGTCCAATGTCCCAATTAGAGTTTTTCAATCATGTTCACAGGAAGAATCATAGACTTGATGATTTTGTTGATAAAAAATCCAAGCGAGTTCATGTAAGTACAATTAGAGTTCATGTACTTCATAGTTTGTTCATATAGTTAGTAATATTTCTTTTTTCACATGATACTTATAAAACTGCAATCGAGTCCAAGTATGGAACTTTTAGGGATAATCAACCTGAGTTCGATCCTGATTCATGGATCGATGCTGTCAACGGTCCATCTAAATGTCGTGTTTGACAACTTGGTTTATTTGTTCTTGGTACACCTACTTCACCTAGACGTTCAATACTTGCACGTGATGAAGAGGTGAATAATTTGAAGTCAGAACTAGCAATTGCATGAAATGCAATAGATGAGAACAACGAAAGGATTGATGATCTCATTGTATGTCTTGAACGAGTTGAAAGAACTCACAAGACCGAGATGCGAGAAACAGTGTGAAGCATGCTCAGGGAACTAAATATTCCTAATTTTCAATTTCCTTCTAGCTCGGGATCACGAAATGATATGTGAGACATGATATTTGAAATTTGGAATTTTGATGTAATAATTTAATCTATTAAAGCTTTAGTGTGTTTTGACAAATTTGATTATTTAATGCATTTTGAAATTAATAATGAGTGGGTTGTATAAATTTTTAATTATTTTTATTAAAAAAATAATAAATTAAGATTATCCAACAGATTTTCCGTTGGTATTGAAGTATAAGAATATAATTTTAGCAACGGATCGTTCGTTGGTCAATTATTCAGTTGGTAATATCCATATTTTACTAATTAGGACAATGTTTTCACCAACGAAATTTTCGTTGGTAATGGAGACTTTCGACCAACGGAATATCTATTGGCAATTATAATGTCTTTACCAACGGACATTTCGTTGTTAATGAAAAGACTTTTACCTAGGAAATTTCTATTAGCAATTAGAAGGTTTTACCAATGTAACTTCCATTGACAATGAAAGATTTTTACCACCATAATTTCTGTTGGAAATGACAGGGTTTTATCAACGGAATTTCTGTTGAAAATGACAAGATTTTTACCAACGGACTTTCCGTTGGTAATGGAAAGACGTTCACAAACGGAAATCCTGTTGATAAAACTAATATACTACCAGAGACCCTCAAAATAGCAATGGAATTTCAGTCAATATTTTTTCGTTGGTAAAGACTAGTAGCGATGGATATCGTGGATTTAAGAATGAAAAATTCGTGCCTGAAGCCATGTTTTTTAGTAGTGCTTCTAATTATACTAACATATTCATTTTGATTAATCACATCATTTTCATTAATCACAGGAAATAACTGAACACTAGAATAAAAAAGAGTAACGACATGCTTGCAATCATAAAAATTATATTTTTTTCAACATCTTGCCGATATAATGCGATTGATCATGAAATATGCCATCACATGTTTTTGTGATTTTCATACCCAAAATGAAATTAACTTCACCAAGATCTTTCACATCAAAATGGTTCAAAACATGCTTTTTGTCTCATTTATAAAATACAAATTTGAACCAAATATCAATAAATAATCCACGTAGAGACTAACAATGATAAGTGAATTTTTAAAAAATTTATTCAGCTTACATGCTTTGCTTACTTGTCCAGGCTCTACGAAGCCTTCGAGTTAATCCATATAGGTTTTCTCATGTAGATCTCCATTCAAAAATGTAGTTTTTTTTTTTACATCAATCTGATGCATTGTGGGATTATAAATTGCAGCCACTACAATCAACAATCTAATGGATGTGACTCTAGTTATCAAAGAAAACTATCGAAAAATAAGGTCGACTTTTTGTTTAAATCCTTTTGCAACAAGTCTAGTCTTGAATTTATCAATTGTACTATCCAGTTTATATTTCTTTCTAAACACCCATTTGCAACAAATAATTGTATAACCCGATGGTAATTCTACCAATTTCCAAATGTTGTTGGAGATTAGAGAATCCATCTCATCATTTACAACCTCTTTTCAAAGTACAGTGTCAGGTGATGTAGAAGCTCTTGTAAAGAAAGTAGAGTCTCCTCAGTATTGAAAATAATGTATTCAGGGCTAATATCTTTTTCAATTCTAGCTCTTTTGCTCTTTTTAGGTAGGCCTGGGCAAAAAAATTGAAAAACTAACTAAACCAATCAAACCGAACCGACTCGGGTCGGTTCAGGTTGGTTCAACACAAGTAATTGGTTTGATTATTTTTGGTTCAGTCATGGTTTGAAGTCTCAAACCATTGGTTAATAGAACCAACCCAATCCACTTACGTGTTCATTTTTTATTTAATTTAAGAAAATAAAATTAAAAGATAAACTCTAATCTCATAACTATATCTCGATTCCCTAAAATTTATGATGTTGTCGGTTAGTAACAGTACTGAAAATTTTCTTTTACAAGCTCATTATGTTATACTTAGTATTTTTTCCCATATTCAGGCAGTCATACTATATAATACATAAAAAACAATAAATTTTTTATGATTTCTATTGATCCGTCTCTATTAACCTGATTTTATTTGTTAATTAATAGTTTTTATAATATAAAATTATTTGGTTATTTTAGTTCTTGTAATTTAAGTGCGCTTAAAACTCAGACAATTTCTTTTTAAAAATTTTAATTTGGATTAAAAGTCCAAATCGATTAACCAAATTGAATCAAACCATTTGTTTTGGTTCAGTTTGGTTCCGTTTGTTAGAGTGGGTTGGTTTGGTTTGAACTTTGCCCAAACCGATTAATTTGGTTTTGGTTTCGGGTTGGAGTCGAAATCGACCCAAATCAAACCGTGTTCAGGCCTACTTTTAAGTTTAATTTGGAAATTTTCTTGGCTTGGAAAGGGAGTAAAAGAACTTGGTTTTGATGAAACATTTTGTCTTAATTCTTCATCCCCATTATTTTTTATTTTGAAAGTAAATTTATCTCCGTGAAAAATAGTATCACATGACTCAAAAATGATATTATTTTCAATATCTAAAAATCTGTAGGTTGTACTATTTATTGTATATCCAAGAAAAGCACAAGTGATATTTCTAACACCATTTTGATAATTTAGAATATATTAGCATTATAAAAGCCAAACACCCAAAATCCTTAAAAATCCTAAGTTTGGCTTATATCTTTTCCACCGCTCAATATGTGTGATTTTTGTTTTCTTGTGGGTACTCTATTTAACACATAACATGCAGTTAAAATTGCTTTACTTCAAAGATTTGAAGAAGCACCTAACTCGATAAGCATGGCATTTGTCAAATCAATCAAAGTTATATATTTTCTTTCAATTACACCGTTAGATGCGAATGAGTATGTTGGAGTAGTCTCATGAATTATTCCCAAAGACTGAACAAAATAATTAAAAGCAATAGAATCATAATCTTTTCCTCTATCACTTCTAAGTCTTTTGATTTTTCTACCGAATTGATTTTCAACTTCTTGGAGCAAAACTTTGAATTTATCAAAAGCATCACTTTTATTTTTCAATAAATAAACATAAGTATATTTTGAAAAATCATCAATAAAGATGATAAAATATCTATTTCCTCCACGAGTTAAAATTCCTTCAAATTCACAAAGATCAGTATGAATTAATTATAACAATTCGATATTTCTTTCAACACTTATATGAGGCTTCTT